AAAAAAAAAAAAAAAAAAAAAAAAAAAAAAAAAAAAAAAAAAAAAAAAAAAAAAAAAAAAAAAAAAAAAAAAAAAAAAAAAAAAAAAAAAAAAAAAAAAAAAAAAAAAAAAAAAAACGAAAAACAAACCTAACAGAGATTAGATTTGCCATAAAACAGATTTAGCAATAAGTTTTTGGTGGCATTAAATCCAGACCAAAAAACTAAGGCTGCATCCGAAAGTCATATATATACTTAGATAACCAAGTCTGTGTAATTGGGTATAATGCTGAAGATACTTTATTGCTTCATTTAATTAATAGAAATTAATGATGTGAAATCGCTTCGATTCTGCCAAAAGGTGGCAGCCTGCATCCTGGCATCAGGATGAGAAGGAATGGCTGGAGATGTTGGCTTGGGAAGCGTTTTCATGTGTCTCTCTGACCTCTGAAATGGGATCAGTTCAGGGTGGATACGGGGCAGGAAAAATAACTAAAAGCTCTAAGGTGTGATGGTAAAGGACTTTGAGACTCGCTGGAGGAAATCCACTGCACCAGGGAGTGATGGGAAGGTCTGGCAGGGTGGTTTCTCTCCGTCCCCGTGTCTGGAGGGGGCAGAGCAGTGCTGAGAAGGGGCAGAGCAGTGCTGAGAAGGGGCAGAGCAGTGCTGAGAAGGGGCTGTGCTGCTGGCACTCCTGTCACCCCAAACGGGAGAGCTCTGCTGCAGTGACAAACCCTGCAGTGATGGCTCAGGAGAAGGCAACAACCAGGGTGAGGATTCTTGCGTGTTTGGGACACAGAGCTGAACCAGAGTGGCTGCTTCCCTGCTGCTGCAGGTGCTGGTTAACGATGCAATTTTTAGCTCATATAAAAAGCTTTTAAGCTTATTTCAATACTGTAAATCTGCCCATTTTCTGATGTTTTCCATATGTGGCTCCCTGCAGCCATCCAGGAGCTCTTGCCCAGCATTCTGGTGGCTGTCTAGACCTGACACCCCTCAGCCCTTCCCCAGCCCACTGCAGCAGGTCAGGTCTTCGAGGCTCTGTGAGCTGGTGCTTGAGGTGCCAACCACAGTCTCTTGATGCTGCAGGTGAATCTGCTGACGAGTCCCTGGGGGGTGTCAACCACAGATTTCCGACTGCTGGGTGTCACAGCCTGATACAGTCCAGGTGATGCTGGAAGCTGTGCCAGCTCCTGGCATGGCATGATCCTGAGTCCTCAGCAGATTCCAGCAGGACAGAATGATGGATCTCTGTGAGGGGAATGTCTGGGGGAAGATCTGAGAGGCTGGGTAGAGCAGAGAGGCAGTAAATACCTCTTGTCTCCAGACAGCTTCCTGCTGTGGCCACCTCCCAGCCGTCCCTTCATCTCAGATCCTGTGGGGAGCTACTTTAGTCATGCTGGACTTCCAGGAGAGGAACTGCATGCACATAATTAGAGCCAGAGATGAGCTACTTCTAGGTCTGTATTCCTTGGTGTTGATGCCAGGCAGTTTGAATCCTGGACCAGGATGGACACACTGAAAGGCAGAGCAGCCATTTGGGAGATAACTGTCTGTGCTGGAGGTTGGAGACCTGCCAGAATGGTGGCTGTGGCTCCCAGGAACTGATTGGTTTGGGGCAGGGACACTCTGCTAATAGGTGTGGTGGGATGGGGGATGGT